TCGTCCTCCTCGCTGTCCGTATCGTCGAATGTTCCCTTAAGAGCATAACGACTCATTTTTACCCGTTCACTTGGTTCTATAAAGTTCATTTCAAGTCGTCTATACAAATTTTGAATCATTGTTCGCAGTGGAGTTTTAGCTCGATTACTGGATGAAAAGTAAAGACGAGACAGTTAGTCGTTTGACTTTTCAACTCCCTGCATGTCATATGCCGTCAAGTTTTCATTTTCATCCTGTTCAGCTAGATGAGTATAGTGAGCTGCAGTTTTCACCGTTGGAAAGAGCAGATGAAAACGCACCGAACTGTATAAGACAATGATTTTTAACTTGAATTTTTAAAACCTTTTGCAATAGTTGAACAAAAAAATGCCTTAAAAACAGGCCTGATTTTTCCAGGAAAAATGAAAAAACTCAAAAATCTGAGTTCTTTTTTTACAGAAAACGCTGGCAAAATGGACTATAATTGTCGAATATAGTACCTAGAACTCGAAAACCAGTAAAGCTTTAAATCAAGCGTTCTATATAGTTTTGTAGCTCTTGAGCTGGCGATTCTAGTGCATTCCTCAAAGTTTAAGATTTGTTCTACCTTCAAAGAAGAAATAGTCTACTCTTTCAAGATGACAATGGATCACTATCTATTTTTGAGATAAACCTTAACAATTTTATATGAGTTGATTCGCTGAATCAGTCTCTTTGCAACGGTGAAAACCACAGCTCTCGATCTTGTTCCTATCAAAAGTTATTCAAAAAATACCCACGTGCCTTTTATTTTGAAATGGGCAGTAGAAGTTGTCTTGGTACGCCACTCAAGTTTTATGTACGACTGTTAGAAAAAAACTATTTCAATGATCTCAGGCATGTAATTTCTAAACATTGATGTTTGTATGTCAATAAATCTGTCGTAACTTATTTTCGTATTTCCAAATTTCATCCTCAACAAATATTTGTTTTAGCTAAATCGATAAATTCCATGTCAAAAAACTTAATAAACAACATTTGTGAGAAGAATAAGTGCTTATCTGGTTCTAATGATGCCTCCTGAAGAATAATTTTGAATCCTGTTATGGATCCTTTTGGCTCGCAGCATATTGATGCACTCAAATCGACCGATATTATCAACTATTATCTTAAAAAACCTAATTTTTTCCGGAAAAAGAGGATTTACAGCCAAAATGAGGCGAAAAAGAGGAGGTTCAGACAAAAAAGAGGAAAAAGAGGCGGAGTGGGATACCAGACATTCGTATAATTTTTAAAGAGTTTTATTGTTGATCTTCAATGAACATTGTTAAAACCGAAGAAACACTTCAGTGAATAAATTGATTCATACATATTTATAATATTGTTATCATAACAATCAATATAATTTAGATTATTTCAAATTAACGAAATTTCGGTGAAAGAACATGCCAAGCTTTTTCTTAATTTTTGACTTTATTTTTATTTTTTTCGTGTTGTTATATTTCTAATTTTTTTATATTGTTTTATTTGTTTCTCATTTCTTCATCTGCTCAATTCTGAATATCATGTTTGTGAATTAATTTTTGTTTAAAATAATAATAGATGTTTGATGAACATAAAAGAAGTATTTAGTGATAGCGAAAATAAATAAATAATTTTCATTTATTCGCACATAAAAAAGGAAATTCGAATCACAAATCGGTGTTAACCGCTAGTGCAGTACAATAGTCTTCGTTACTAGGAATATGTCCTTCTTAGCCATGCGTTTTAATAAAAAAATATTTTTCCTAAGAAAAGCAATATTCTCGACTTGATCCTTATCTTATTCTGATATAGAATAAATTGGAATCTTTTTTTATTTATTCATAGGCAAAAAATAAAAATAAATGTCACTGCTGAAAAGTGCATCTGACTTATATTGGACGAAAGAAACGCTTTTTAGATCCTCGGACAATATTCCATTATACGAATTGTTTGTTTTTCTTATTGAATAATACGTTTATTGGTGATATAAAGCAAGCGAGAGAAAAGCCAATCAATGTTGAATACGATATGAGCTAATGCACTTTAGTGAAACTCATTTTTAAGGGCTAATTTTTATAAGAAATAAAGAAAAACACTAATATAGAATATTTATGCTATTAACTTCTTCTTGACAAACAAAAAATTTGGAGTTATAGACGAAAGTTATGGAGTTGATGTTTGCAACATCTCACTTTACATATTATTGTTTTTATGATATTAATAGTGAACAAACACTGTAGTACAGAACCCTCAATTGAGTGAAACTCATTTCGTTGAATTGTCAACATTAATGTATTGGTTTTTCCGGCTGGAATACTACTTCCATGATCCGAATATTTTTACCGTCATTCCCACCAGAAAAGACACCGGAAACGGTGGAAAGAGTCGAGAATGATCGATCTGGGATAGTGCCCTAATAAAAACCCTAAAGGAAGTTGGATGTATAGTGCTTCCTTCAAATGTTATGTATTTTTTTGTTTTGACTTTATAAGTCAAAACATACAATATATAAAAGAAGGTCTGTGACAAGATCTATCAAGCAGGCCACTAGAAAAAATTTTATCTTCAATTTAATTATCTTAAACGGTAGATCATCATTAGAATATTTCATAATTCAAAATATTAGCTCTTTCTGACTTTCTCTTATGAAAGCACTCAATGCATACAAATTATACACTACTCAGCACTTGATCAAAAAAAATTGGTCTTTTTATGAAACTTTAGTATTTTGCATTTTTCTCTACATCCACTCCTTCGTTCGAATCCGAAGACATCTCAAAAGAAGCTGAAATGTTTTTTCCTACAAAATTATCTAATTAAATAATTTCTACAATACATTTTACTAATTTATAATATTGATATACGAGCAAAATCTATGAATGGCTTTTTATACCAATTTCTAGTATTGTTCCTCTGATCATACTGAATCAAGGTATCCTAAAATAATTTTTATATTTTGTGAAAACTTTTGAAATTCTGCGTTGTATAGCGTTTTACTTCAATAGACTTAAATATTAGCAAAAACGTTTATCCATATCACAACTATTAATGAATGATCGCCATGTCTAATAGAGATAGTCCTCACCTATCAACATTTATAGTATGGACTAACTTTCGTTAGCAGAATTTTAATTATTTGAGCTTTACCTTAAACGATGTAGAATTGTAAGGATTTTTAGAAAATATAAAAATTATTTTGGAATAGCTTGGATCAGTGTCATCAGAGGCAAAATACTAGAAAATTGATATAGAAGCCATTCATCATTTTGCTTGTATATCGATATTATAAATTAGTAAAATGTATTGTGAAAATCATTTAGCTGGTTAATTTTGTAGGAAAAAAATTTCTGAATCTTTTTGAGATGTCTCCAGACTTGAACGAACGAAGGAACGAAAACAGAAAAAAGTGTAAAATACTAAGGGTTCATTAAAAAAAACTGATTTCTTTGATCAAGTTACTGAGGAGTGTATAACTTGTATATATTGGATGTTTTCATAGGAATGTCAGAAAAAGCTAATATTTTGAATTTGAAGTATTCTAATGATGATCTACCGTTTAAGATAATTAAATCGAAGATCAAAATTTTAGCGACACCCTCCTTGGTAGATCCTGTCATAGACCTTCTCTTACATATTGTATATTGTGCCTTATAGGAGTAAAATAAAAAAATGCATAACTTTTGAAGAAAGCACTATGCACTCAAATTCCTTTAGAATTTTGTATTAGGGTACTATGTAGTATCTATGAATAAAAATTCATTGTAATCTATGGGGATCATCTCAGAAGATTTTCTCGTAAGTCAATTTTCAGTTGTTGTAATGTTTGAGTCATATGTTTTAATTTCGACTATCTAATGAATCAATAACAAAAAGATTTCAGTAATCTCTTCAAGTCTCTTATGATGATCCGTATGAGAAACGCGTAAAACATTCCTATCGATGAGTATTGATCAAAGAAATTTGATTTTTTAAATGTTTTGACTGTCTCATTCAAACATAACAGGCAATGTATTTATATTTTCCTGTCCTAAACAAGAAATGTTCATATTTCAGACAACTAGATCTGTCTATGAAAGTAAATCATTTTAGAGTTTTTTCTACTCTTATCAAGTCCTATTTATGACCAGATGATAAGCTCTAAAACTTTCATTTACCAAATGGAATTTCCTCATTAATTCATCAAAACAAAACTCGAACTATTTCTAAAACTATGAAAACTTTCGGTATATGTGTGATAACCATATCGTACTATTAAATATGATAAAATCTTCATTATATAATCTTCGATAATGTATAATTTCTAATAGCTTTTGAAGAGCTTCATAAAAAAACGATTAAATATATCAACTTAATGTTATCTCTTAGTCAATTTTTTAATGTCAATTCTTATTAACTTAAGCAGACTGCTTTACATATCAATTGATAGTTTTGCTAAAACTCTATTAAATAAAAAATTTCAAAATATATTATTTGTTTATTATTTCTTCATAGAATAATTCTTTGAGTAACCATCTACTAAAATTTATCAAAAGCATTAACCGTTAAACTGAAAGAGATTCAATGAACTTGAATTTGTAAGTGATGATATAATTCTGAAACTATATAACTTATAATGAGAATTACATTGGAACATTACAATAGATGTAAATATTCTGTTCATAACGTGAATCGTAAAGTTAAAAACTGCATTCACATTCTACATTGATGTAGAGTTTCTCTAGAAGAATAAACCATAGACGATATTTTATATTTGATCTGAATAATTGATTTTTTTTCTAAAACGAATGCGAAAAGAAAAGTACTTGATTACAGCAATAAAATTTACGTGGAATAGTTTTGAGAGTAAGTCCCTATTTAGTCATTCGATAATGAAGTTCACTAAGCTATATTTGTATATATATTAATTTATCTTTAAGTTTGTTTTTCTTATTTATGTATTTGCATAAAAATATCTTAATTTTCAATCTGAAGAATATTTAAATCTTGAATACAATAATTAGAATGAGGATTATAATCATGACTATTGACACGAAAAAGAAGTTTCCATTGTTCTGTCTAAAATAAATAAGAATTATTTTTTGTTTAATATACTAATAAACATACAGTCATTGCTTCACTGAACTTCTTTTCTTTTTAAATAAATTAATTTTTTGTTCAAAATCTTCAAGTATTATTATCCAATGAAGAACAACTGGATCATCTTCAGAGATTTTTTCTTATGCTTGATGAATATTAAATTACGAAAACAAAAAAAACATTAATTCTATAAAATAGAAATAAAAAAAACGGAATACTTTATTAATCAATGTATTTTTTCATTCTTTAATTGAATTTAATGTTATTTGAACATATATCCATAAATCTTTTCTAAGATCAATTTCAACTGATTATCGACTAACATTATTTATATCAACCCCACTATTATTTTGATCTTCATTTGAAGGAGTTACACTATTCACAGTTAATAATGTTTGCCATACACTATATTGTCTCAATAATTTTTCAAGTCCCATAAAATTCAAATAATTTTATCAATAAAAAATATTAAAAAAATATTTTTCATTAACAAAATTTTACTTCTTGTTTTTTGAATTGTTTAACCATTTCCATTAGATCCTGTGTTGGATCAAGAAAAATTTCATTTGCTAATTGATTATATAATAATTTCGCTTGATTTAAATATTTCTATGGAAAAAAAATTTTTAGATATTTTTTTCAAAGAAGAATATTTTTTCATTTCAAATATATTATGTAAACGTTCTTTGATAATTAAAGTTTGTTGTGTAACAAAATCAGATAAATTATATAATTTCTTTTGAAATAATTTTCATATATCAATTATGGATTTATCGATTTATTCATTCTCATCTTATTGATGTAAATAACCAAAATGCATAAAAATAATTTTTTTTCTTGAATAAAATATAAAATTTATTTTTGAAAAGAAACATTTATTTTTAAAAGACTTCAAAAAAAAAAAAAAAATATTCAATTGTTTATCGATTTGATGAAAGTTCAAATTTATGTGAAGCTAAATAACTTGAATATTTAGTAAGTTCTTCAATACCTAAAGATCTTTGATCAAATACCTTCAAATCAATAAATTTTTGTTAAAAAAAACGTTTTTTTAAAACAAACTTGAAATATATTTTGAAATTTATTAATAAGTATTTGCGCATTTGAACAAGTATAACAATAGAGATATTTTCCAAAATCAAAATAAATTCTTTCGATTTTATTGCAAAGATCTTGACTTATAAGAGAACAATTCATTTGAATAATATAAGGAGAATTTAATATTGAATATGTTAATTGAAATGTACGTGTTTTATTAATCCAACCATGAAGAAGATTTAATTATTTTTGATTTGGTTTTTAATTAAGAAAAAATTCTTTTTTAAAACTAACTTCAATTAGAAAAACAAATAAACTTGTTTTTCTTCAGATATTTGTTTCATTTGATTTAGAGTCCATTGAAGATAAAAAACAATTTATTTTGACATCACCATTGATTTGATTCATCACAATGCGTATTCAATTCATCAAAAGATAAACGAAATTGAGAAAGAATTATTTTGATTTCTTCCTTATATATCATATTAAATCAAAAAAAAAACAAAAATAATATTTAAAAAAATCTTAGATGTTATTCAAACTTATTCTTTTGTAAAGATAAATTCAAATAGTAAAACTTCATTACGAGTGATACTACCATAAAATTCATGATCTTTAATTAATAAATTATTCAATTCCTTGGTCGATTCTACATTAATAAAAATAGTCAAGTTTAAATTATCATTAAATAAGATTTACAATTTCGAGGTATTCGAGTCGAGTTACAAAAAATTGATTGATATCAGACTCTGATATACATATTAATGGTTAGACGAGTAGTGAAGAATATATCGAAAGAAAATACGATATTTAAGTATTTATGAAAAGTCTTAGTCAAATCTCATATATAAGCAACATGGTTTATTATTTTAACAAGATAAATTATTTTGGTGGAGTTCAAAAGTTCTATAATAATAATAATAATAATAGTAATAATAAATGTTTCATCAAAATTTGTCTTCAATATTTTCAGAGCGAAGATATCTTTAACTCGAATAGTGCTCAACAAATGAAATACGTATTTGACTATATGTTTTATTGGCAGTTGTTATTAATTGATTCATATAAAAAATCTCATTTCAGTTTTTGACTTTTTAGGCTACAATAAAATGAAAGAATTTTGAAATCTTCTTTAAGTTCTGTATTATATCATTTTCTTCAATGTAACACGGTTGCACAAAATACTCAAGATAATCGTACATGTACGTCGAGTATTGTAAATGAAATGGTTGTGAGATACGTTTTGTCTGTCCTTCGGCAATAAAGTGAATAGTGAACTTCTTCTGTTATTAAAATTTATATAAAAATACAATTATAGATATTGAATAATTTTGTTGGAGCAATGTTGAACAGATGTTTAGAGCGTGATTTTCGCTGTACTTGTGTATGTTCATACTTGTTTAGCTCTCACATCTAAATATAGATTTTGACTATAAAAAGTAGTAATGTGATCTCAGAAAAACACAAGGTGTTTATTGAACTTGAGAAACTATTGTGATCATTTGTCGACTAATTCGTATCTCGAATAGAATAAAACAAACCTTTTGATTGTTGTTGTTTTTTTTACATTTAAATGAATTCAATAATGTTTCTTGTAAACCTAGATAAAGTTCTTATTCACATTTTTCACATTGACAGTGTTAATCTGTTAAGCAAAAGATCTTCTAATAAACTATACAATAATAAAAACATATTTCTACTCTTCTTGTTATATATAATATCATCAAATGTATATGCATCTCTTAAACAAGTATC